CAGACACCCCCCCAACCCCAGCACCCCCCACCCAGACCAACCCCCCAACCCCCCACCAAAGCCAAAATTTTATTGCAGATTCGGGGTCCTCTCGCCAAGCGCAGAACGACCCCGGTTTCAAAAAGAAAAAAAAAAATTCTGTGCGGTTTTTTGTGCCGCCCGGTTTACCCGGGCAGCCCCCCCGGGCCCAACCGGCCGGGCCCAGCCTGGCCATCCAGGCCCGGCTGGGCGGCGTCCTCACTCATGTTTTTTCCATTGTTTTTTGAAATTTTTGTTTGGAAAATTTTTCGATATGCCCCTGAAAGTTCAATTAATTTGCACTGTGCCCCTCTTGACTGCCAACCTACCCTACTGTGCCCCTGGGGCCTCTGAACTTTCCTGCAGGCCCCTCTCTGTGAGGGTAGCAACTTTCCGGCATGCCCCTGTGGCCGTTGGTGGCACACGCGATCTTTCCCCTGGCTCTGGGAGGGGAGCTACCGGGGCGTTCTAGAAATTTGGAACCGGTACCGGTAGGGTTATATTGAAGATATTTCAGGCCCAAAGGACACCAGGGTTTTTTCAGAAACTTCAATCTCTGTCAGAGGGGCGCTGCAGGGTAAGTCGGCCGTTAGAGGGCCACGCTGCAAATAAATCGAACTTTGAGGGGCATATCAAAAATTTTCCCTTTTTGTTTTTGGGGAGGGGGGGAGTCCAGAGCTCGAGTCAGGGGTGCCCACCCTCCGACCCCTGGAACCTCGGCAGGGCCAGGGTAGGACAACCCTGGTTAAACCACCAGTCCGTCCAGGTACCTTTTTCTGGATGTGCAGTCCTGCTCACCCAGAAAAATTGAACCGCCATTTCCACAAAAACCACCAAGCCTTATCCAGCGAGTTGGAAGGAGGACCGGTTGTTTAATAAACAGATCACAAGTTCCAAATCCAAATCCTCAGGGATACAATAATGGTAGGGGCTCCTTCTCTCGCCCATACTCCTTTATGGCCTTGGCCTTGGACTAACCTGGAACCACCAAAGAAGCAAATGTACAAATCGATGCCTGCTCTTCTCAAGAGATTGCTGAACCCATGGCAAGAAGAAGAACACAACCGCACCAGCAGTAGGGATGAGGTAAGCAGCAGCTACTGGAATGAATCCAGTTGTAAACAACACCCGAAGCTGTTCGTTATATGGCCGTCCGCTCAAGTCTTCTCTACGATTCCACGTCACCCTGTCAAAAGACACCCAACACAACAACAAGCAACAAACAGCCAACAACACAATGAACAAACAAGGACCTAACAGTCCAAAACGTGCACTACCTGGAGGCATGCGATTTCCACAACCATACAGTTAGGATTAAGAGTTGATGGCTGCTGCAGCCAATCAACACGTGATCCCGAGTTCTGCTCAAGCACTACAGATGGAAACAAGAAGAGCCAGCACAGCTCCACCCGCATGAGGAAGGGGTATTCAAGGATTTCAGATTAGTGTGCATAAAAACCTCCAATAGCATGTGAATACTGGAACCGGAAAATGGGGGATATGTAGGTCGGTAGAAAAAACAGCAACGGTCAGCCGTTTGAAAAACAAACGTAGATGAACGAAGTACATCGAACCTTAATGGGAGAGAAAGGTGTTTTAGCGTTTAGGTATTGGAAAAGAAGAATTAACCCCCTCCTAAGCCGGAATAAAGACGTAACTCGAACACCGCCACACGATAAAGACAACTCAAAACCCCCCATGCCACTTCGAAGACACAGAATTAACCTGCTTCTAAGCCCCAATGCAGACATAGTCCATGCCCCACGCCACTTTGGAGGCATAGAATTAAAATACCAGTACTTATGACCCTTCCCTTCCTGAGCCTAGAAACGCCCTGGGCGCCCAAACAAAGCAAACTGGTGCGGTTTCTGTTTTGGCTGGCCTTTAGCTCAGATTTGCCATGCCCAGAAAGCTGCAGTACATTCCAGGCCCAGGGATTCAGAAGGATTTGTTCTGTTAATACGATGGTCAGATGACCTGTTGCAGCTTCGCTTGCAAGAAAACAGGAGGGAATACCACTCAACCTTTTTTCTTTCTTTTACAGCGAGTGTTTTCTTTTAGTAGTAGTTAACTTCCCAGAGTCAGCTCGGACCTGGTCAGAGACGACTTCTGGACCCGGGTCCTGAGGGCCTGGCGCCAACTCCCGTTGCCTGACCAACCCCCGCCAACTAGGTGGGAGGAGGTGATGCGTCAGCCCCTTTTGGGGAACAGAAGGATAACAGACCGGCACAGCAGGGTGTATCGCAGCTCAGACACCCGGGTCAAAAAAGGCATAATCAGAATAAAGGATAAATGGAACACAGAAGTGGGGGACTGGAAAACGGGGCCACAACTGAGAACCATACTCAAACACTGCCACAAGATTGAGGAGAATATTGATCTGCTGATCGCTGCTGTCCCACTTGACTGGGTGCGCATTCTACGTAAAGGGCCCCGGCTAACGGAAGGAGACTGGGTAGCTGCCCCAGAGGTTTCGGAAAGCGTAGGCAATGTGGTGGAGGTGCGAACAAACAAAACGCTGGTAAACCTCTTCCACGTAAAGGGCCCCGGCTAATAGATTGGAGAGTTACCCGATACCTCCCAGAAGTGACGAGATGGTGGAGGAGTGCAGACTTGCACAGGATACGTGTGCTGCAGGATAAGGACAATTGGATCGCATATCAGCCAAATGCCCCCGTGATGGAGCTACCCTTTGACCTGGGCTAATGGTAGTGGTTCCCCAGCCGAAAACCCAGGTCAACAAATCTAAACTTGCACACTCTAACAGTGAAGGCCACATATCGTCTGCTAAGACCAAAGGTGAACATAAAAGAAACAGTGAAATCCCGATGGAGGTCACACTTGAATGTAGGGAGTGAGGCAATCCGCCCGATCCGATGGTTCACCGCCACAAGGTCTAGGCCTGCAAAGATGGCCTCCCTTCAGTGGCAGATAGAACAGTGCTGCCTGCCCACCAATGATTGGTTGATAGATCGCACATATCTGGAGCAGAAGGGGCGGGCGTTACCCTGGTGCAAATCATGCCACACTGTCTTTCCCTCCCGCAGAATTACTGAAACAATACGCACATATTCATGCAGTGCCCTGGGGCAGTTCTCACATGGCGATGGTGGGATAGGATCTGGACCCGGGAGGGTACTGATTCCAACTGGCCATGGGACTGGAGGGCCATATTATGCGAGGCATGGTCTTCCCCCTCTGACAATCCCTTTGAAAACAACATGTTCAAATTAGGAAGGAGAGCGGTCATGTGGACCCTATGGAGGAAGAGCTGTATACACGCTATAGAGGGTGCCCGCATAACTGGGGAAGAGGCAACGGACATGATAAGGCAATACATTCAACAAGAACTCATGGTACAATGGCAAAAAATTAAAAACCAACTCGATTCATATCATTCAGCACAGGACATAACACAAGCAATTCACCAATTTTCGGGAGACTGGTTGGGTAGTGAGAAATGGGGTTGGATTGCATCTGTCGGATGGGAAGGAAAGCCAGCCCAGGTAGGCAACCAGGAGGAGTTCAGGGGAGACTACCGCATCTGCTTCAGAGACTGGACTACTGTTGGCCAGGAGATCCCACTATGCCCAGCCACAGAATTTCCAGACCCCTTCCCACCCCACCAATTGGCAATGGTGGATATGCAATGGTACGGTGCGGACTAAACAGGTGATACGGGGCAAATACAGAGAAGTCTGAGAACTGGCATCCAGAGGAATCAGAGGCTGCCGCTAGGGTAATAGGTGTGATCTGGCGGTCTGGTACAGACTGAAGAAGCGGCCCTCGGTTCGCCCAATGCAACTATCACTACTTCTCTTAGATTGGAGAGTTACCCTTAGGTCTAGCTCTCAATAGAGGATTATAAACAGTGGTGGGACGCTAAACAGGTGATACGGGGCAAATACAGAGAAGTCTGAGAACTGGCATCCAGAGGAATTGGAGGCTGCCGCTAGGGTAGTAGGTGTGATCTGGCAGTCTGGTACAGACTGAAGAAGCGGCCCTCGGTTCGCCCAATGCAACTATCACTACTTCTCTTAGATTGGAGAGTTACCCTTAGGTCTAGCTCTCAGTAGAGGATTATAAACAGTGGTGCGACACTGGACCCTGTTTCCAGTAATCTGTACCTTTCACGAGAGTGAAACAGAGAGGGTAAAAGGTAGTTGGGAGAGGGAGGAACTAGTCTCTTAGCAGTAGGAATCTGGCACTTGGTACAGGGCGAAGAGGTTTATCCCCTTTTCCCAACAACCTGCACAGTCCATCCTCTGGAGACAGAGTAATCAATGCTGGCAGGCGTCCTTCTCAATCATAGTTTCCTGATATTCTCCTGATTCATGCTGTGTAAGGGACGCTGGACCCGTTTTCCAGCAGGTGAAGCTCCCCGCCAATAGAAGGAGCCTCCCCCCGGGTGCTAGTGATGCCTGCTCTTATCACAGCACTAGCACTGCAGGTGGTGTGTTAAAAAAAAAAAAAAAAAAAAAAAACCTCTCTTGTTTTGTGTTCTGTGAAATGACACAGAGTTTTCTTTCAGTAGTAGTTTACCTTCCCAGCATCATTTCTTGTTTTGTGTTCTGTGAAATAACGCGTACAGTGGCAGTCAGAGAAAATGCGGTCCCTTTAATCTGTTTGCTCAAGATTCCGAGTTGGAGTCCGTTTGCCGTGTTTTCTGAACACGTCTGTGATCAACCGATCTTCAGTGGATTCCATATGCTTACTTGCTGAGTTTTGACTCTTTGCGTGCATGAGTGTGCACGTGCATATATGCGTGTGTGAGACTCAGTTCAGTGCGCCAACATGGTGTGATCGAGAATCGGCCGAGGGGAGTTGATGGAAGTCCCCTACAATTGTAAGAGTGTCACTGCTGTTACAAAGGACTTGTAAAGTAATCACCATCCAATCTGCATGGCAGTTGCTCTTCTCGTGGGGAGTTGTCAGAAGTAGTGTTGTCATGTGAGCCATAATGCTGGCCGTGTTTTCTGAACATGTCTGTGATCAACCGATCTTCTATGGATTCCATATGCTTACTTGCTGAGTTTTGAATATTTGCGTGCATGAGTGTGCACGTGCATGTATGTGTGTGTGAGACTCAGTTCAGTGCGCCAACATGGTGTGATCAAGAATCGGCCGAGGGGAGTTGTTGGAAGTCCACTTCAATTGTAAGAGTGTCACTGCTGTTACACATGACTTGTAATGTATGAATGAAGTAATCAGCATCCAATCTGCATGGCAGTTTTTCTCGTGGGGAGTTGTCAGAAGTAGTGTTGTCATGTGAGCCGTAATGCTGGCCGTGCATCTTGGAGCATTACCTGGAAGACAAGAACCAAAGAGGAAATCGAGCATAACGTGTCAGAATCACTCCGTGAACAGAATGGCACTCTCTCTCTCTCTCTCTCTCTCTCTCTCTCTCTCTCTCTCTCTCTCTCTCTCTCTCTCTCTCTCTCTCTCTCTCTCTCTCTCTCTCTC